GGGACATTGCTAAACCCCACAGTCCCTGCCTCAGAGTAGGCACTCAGTTTCTGGTGGGTGAATCAGCTGATGACATTGAATAGGGGGATAGCGTCAAGGTCAGAGTCTGGATTCCTGGGATTTAGGAAGAAAGTGAGAGACATGGAAAGGAATCAGCAAATACACACCAGTGTAGGGAGGGGGTTTGTCAGGGAAAGGGAAAGACAGGACTAGAGCTAGTTCTAACCTGAGCAAACGGCAGGTTAGGACAACTCAGGCCAGCATGTGCAGGTGGACAGCAATGGCTCCGTGCTGGTGGGGTATGAGTGAAGGTCATCCCCCACAGTTCAATAGGTGAGTCCCTCCACAATACATGGGGCCATGCAGGAAGGGCACAGGGTACAGTGCCTCCCGACCCAGAACCACACTCCAGGCTGGGTGGGGGCCCACAGGGCAAAGGCGAGCACCGGCTGCCTGCCCCCACCTCTTTGTCTACCACTTACCACTGTCACTCACCCCCTTGCACAAAGGGCAATGACAGGTGTGGTAAACGTGTCTGCTCTGTTGCAGCGCTGGGGCAGGAAGGACGGGGACCTTCTGTGCCCTGAGCACCGTCCTGGAGCGTGTGAAAGCAGAGGGGATTTTGGATGTCTTCCAGACTGTCAAGAGCCTACGGCTACAGAGGCCACACATGGTCCAGACACTGGTATGCTACCCACATATTTGTCCCTGCCACCACATCACCTGCAGCCCTTCTCTGTCAGGGCCAGCTCAGGGAGGAGGCTCTTCAGAGGGGCCCACCCAGGAGTCAGAAGACTGTCTAAACACAGACCTGCCCTTCCCCTCCCAAGGTGCCCCAAATACACAGGAAGCACGTTGGGAGGCAGGATGGCAGCAATGGGAACATAGCCCCTGTTGCCAGAGGATGGGCCAGGTTAGAAGGGGGTGTCTGGGTGCCCCACAGGGCTCATCTGCACTTCTCTGTGGGTAAGGAAGATCCAGGAGGAGTACCTGCCTTTGGGCTTGGGCTCCCTGTTGAGAGGTCTGACTTTTAACAAGCCACACATCCACAGAGGTTTCCCTGAATCCCATGGAGCTAGAAATGTTTGAGGAGTAAAGAAAAGTGAATGTTAGTAGGTTTGGGAGACAAGGTTCTGAGAGCCAGGGTGCATGCTAGCCTGGCAGCCATGGTAAGTGTGGGCCATGCTCTGCTGCACTGTCTCCCAGCCCAGCACATGCATGTCTGACCTCTGTAGAGCCTGGGTCAGCTCTGGTCAGCTCTGCTTGTAGAAGGTCTGCTGCATTCAGCCCAGAAGGGGAATGCTGTCAGAACTCTGGCAGGCAGATCAGAGCTCAGGTGAAAGTTCAAAAACATTCAGTTCCTCTCAATTTTCCATCTTCAAAAAAAAAAAAAAAAAAAATGAGTCTGTTAGGAATTACAGGTACTGTGTGTTCTTCAGTAACCCTGGCTTTTTCCCTATCTTTCACTCTCCAGGAACAGTATGAGTTCTGCTACAAGGTGGTGCAGGAATATATTGATGCATTCTCAGATTATGCCAACTTCAAGTAAGCAGCAACAAGCGTCCGTGGACCAGAAGGATTGCCTTTAATATTTTGTAATATTCTGTTTTGTTAATATACCCCAAATTGTGTATATATCTTATAACTGTTTTAGAAATTGGTACATAGGCTTCTATTACCTATTAGGTGGAAATTTTATATGTAAATGTGTTAGCACTGATAGTCCTTTTTCCAATGTTTTATTGGGGAATTAAATAGTGTGATGTTTGGACTGATATCGTGAAATCCTCAGCCAGGAAATTGGGCTGGATTGTGCTTTGGTTAATATATCTTTCCCTAAAGAAGATAAACACAAAATCCATTCCAGGTAGCTTGGCACCAACTAAGAAAAAAAGCACAAAGTACTCAGAGCTCTAGAGGAAAGTGGTTGTCCCCATACCATCATGCACTGTAAATATCCCTCCCCTCTATCCCTGGTCCCCTCCCCCATCCCCACCACCTATATTATGGGAGTAATAGGACCAGAGCGGTATCTCTGGCACCACACTAGGGACTATCAGGTAATAAAAGCTTTGACTCCCTGAGGAAATGTCTCTCCCTTTGTCTGGGGGTGGGTCAGCCATACAGGCTGGGGCTTGGCTGTTCATGGCCCTGCTGTTGCTGTTCTCTCTGAGCAATCTGAGAGAGGCCACAGTCCCCTAACTCCTCCTATCCACCAAACACAGCCTCTCCAGTTCTTAGGTGATCTCCAGGACCCTCCTTTCATTGCCAGCACATCTTTGGTTTAGTGGTCCTGGCCAGCCTTCCTCCCTATGGAAGGTGGCCAGGTCCTCACTGAGCCTCCTTAAGGACAGGGGCACAGGGGAGAGTGGAGCTGACTCAGCTTTGGGCTGAGGCCAGTCTGACCTCTCCAGTCTGTGGTGCTTTGCTACAAAGCTGTCTGGATTGTGTCACCCTGTCCAGGATAAGTCTTTATATCCACATGTATTGTGTTGAATTGCTTCCATTTTCTTTCATACGGGTCCTCATTTCTGGGAATGTGAATGTTTCTCGGATCTAGAAGTCAGGATGGTGGGAGTCTTAGATCCCAACTTGGTTTTGAGTGACATGTTAGACAAAAGTGTTGAACTTTTGTTTCTTAAAGAAGCTGGATGTTCATTTATGTCTCCTATAACAGTCTGCCCTGTCCAGAGACCCAGTATCCTTAGGATATTGTTCTCATCCTCATGGTTGAAGCTGGGTCACTGCCATGTCCATATTCTACCCTAAGGAAAGAGCATGGAGAGCCAGCAGCTTCATTTCTAAGGACAGGAAGCCAAATCTGCACTTTTCATTTCCACTCATACCCCACACCCCATATTCCACTCATTGGCCTCACAAGGTTTTCACCTGGTCATAGCTATGCCTAACTACACAGTGTGCTGGGGAAGTGTGATCTTTTGTTGCGTTGGGAGAATGGGTCTGTCCACTGCCTCCCAGCCTCATCAGCAGCTTACTACAGGAGCAGGAGAGTGAACTGGTGGCTGTGACTGTCAGGCAGGGCCTTTCTTGAAGAGCCAGCACAGGCCTGGGCTCCACAGAGGCTTCTGGAGTGAGAGGTGGCACCCCAGCCTGGTCCATGGAGGCATGCTTAGGGGTCAGCACTACTGAGCTTCTTGGAGGAGGTGGGACTTGAACCAGACTCATGGGATGCTGGAAATTTAGATGAATGAAAAGGAGGAAAGGTGAAGTGAAGCCACATTACAGAGGGCCTCAGAGTCCAGATAAAGCAGTTAACATGTAGTGGCTCCAGGAGAGAAGCCTGTCTGTGCACCACATATCCAGGATGTTTGTGGGAAGGAAGGAGATGTGCAGAAGGGACCCAGGAGGCAAGGGCTGCAACAGACCCCTCTGGAAGTTTACAGGAGGTGAGTGTGAGTCATTAGAGACATTCAGTTCTGTAGGAACTAAGGAACTCCCAAGAGGCAGTAAACTTAAAACTCAGTAGTCTCAAGAGAAGTATGGATAAATTAGGCAAAGATAGAATCTGAGGAATTTCTGGTGAGGGTACCAAGTTTGGGGAGCAGCCCCTGGCTCCTTGCAGGCTACCCTTCAGTGCTCTGTGTGGCCAAGTCCAAGTTGATGCAGGAGGGCAGGCACTGGGTCAGCAAGCCACTCAGTGAATGTGCAGATAAGGCCGTTCACAGGCGCTTTTGTGCCTCCCAGCAGGCTGCCTCCTATTGTCAAGGCTGGCCTTCGGCAGGATGTGGCACCGTGGCCTGAGTGGTTTTCTGCTGAAGTCCATGCTGATTTGGCCAGTGGAGAGGCATCACCTGGGTGCAAAACCGGTGTCTCCAGGTAGGAATGACCTCAGCTGTTTGCTCCCTGTCTTGCTCAGGCTGTAGATGTGTCCCTCATCCCTTCATGCCTCCCTCTTCACTCCTCTTTTGCTTTCTACTTGGGGCATGCATGTTTCCAAGAGAGGTGAACCCAACAGAAACTAGTGTAGGCCAAAAGGAAAATGTGCTGAGGCTCACACAGCACAGTCATGTGGAAAGGGCAGGGGTGACCGCTTCATCCAGTGCCCTTCCCACAGCCAGTCAGTTGTGACCCAAGGGGCTTAGGGTAGGAGTGTTTCTCCATAGGGGAAGAGTAACAGCCTGCACCCACCACACACCCAAAGCCCTACATCCTGCCACACTCAGACCTCACTTCATTTGGGCAGGTCCCTCCTGGGTTGCAGCTTCCTTCTTTGTTCCCCTGTCCCAAATACTCAAGTCTCTTTCATTAAAAATAAAGAGCAGGCCAGGTGCAGTGGCTCACACCTGTAATCCCACACTTTGGGAGGCCAAGGCAGGTGGATCACTTGAGCCCAGGATTCGAGACCAACCTGGGCAACATGACAAGACCCTGTCTCTACAAAAAAATAACAAAAATCAGCCGGGCATGGTGGCACACACCTGCAGTCCCAGCTACTTGGGAGGCTGAGGTGGAAGGATCACCTGAGCCCATGAGGTAGAGGCTACAGTGAGCTGTGATCATGCCACTGCACTTCAGCCTGGGTCAAAGAGACCCTGTCTCAAAAAAATAGGCTGGGCACAGTGGCTAATGCCTATAATCCTAGCACTTTGGGAGGCCAAGGTGGACGGATCACCTGAGGTCTGGAGTTCGAGATCAGCCTGGTCAACATGGTGAAACCATCTCTACTAAAAATACAAAAATTAGCCGGGTGTGGTGGCACATGCCAGCTACCAGGGAGGCTGAGGCAAGAGAATCGCTGGAACCTGGGAGGCAGAAACTGCAATGAGCCGAGACCGCACCACTGCACTCCAACCTGGGTGACAGAGCTAGACTCCGTCTCAAAAATAATAATAATAATAAATTAATTAATTACATAAACAGCATGTCTCCCACCCCAGGCCTAAGTTCTTCCCTGTTTATGAGAGACTACGTGAAAAAGCCTGTACTCTGTCTCTTCCCTCTTCCTCATTTCATTCCCACACGTTTCTTTTTCATCCCTGCTCACCAAGGTCACCTTGGTGCTAAACCCCAGGGATCCATGGTCTCTTCCCTTGTGTCACAGGCTGTCCTCTGCCTCTTATCCTCACCCTTTAGCTGCTCCTCCACTGTCTCTTCTCTCAGAGGTCAGGATTCTGGGTCTGTCTCTGTGGACCCTCAGCTCGCCTCCAATCCCAAGTCCCCCATAGCCTGGTCGCATGTCAGCGTTGTCCAGAGATGCCTGCCTCCCACTGCCCACACCCAGGGGCCCACCCTCCTTTCCTCTAACCCTCCCACATTCTCTGGCCCCATGGATCCGCAGCAGTTCCTGCTGGCCCTTTTCCATTTTGTTCCTTACGCTGCACCCCTCCGCTGCCACTCCCTGCGTCCATGACTCCAGCTCACTTGTCTCTGTCCTTCACCCAGGTCGCCTGCTCAGTTTGTGCCCCTCTGTGCTCCTGCAGCACCTGAGTGTTTATTCACCTCTGAACCTCTGCTTTCCCACCTGAGTACGCACAGCTCCGGGCTGCAGTGACTTCATATCCTAAGGACTGGCGCCCCATGGTGAACAGATGGCTTTCTATGTTCTAATGAGAGGGATACAAGAGTCCAGAGTTCTAGTCTAGAAAGGACATCAAACATTTCTAAAAAGCTAAGTATGTTGCCAGAAAAAAAAGGAAAGCAGAGCTTTCCCCAGGAAGCTTAGCTCTGGTTTAGATTTTTCAGGAAAAAAACAATCAAATTACAGAATAAATAAAGGCACCCATCCCCCTTTTAAATGAACACCAGCTTTGAATAAAACGTTCTGTAAACCCCAAGCAGAACTAAACTAGTACATTGAACTTAGATTCATTTTCACTAAACCACAAAGCAAATGTTTTCCTAAAAATCACCCGGTTAACAAAGTCTGTGTCTTTAAGCCAAAACAATTTAACTGAACATACAGGCCACACATTCATTTCAGGTCCCTGCTAATAAGTCAGTCTGGAAATTCACAGGTGTGCCCATCCTGCCTTGGCTGCTGAAGTCCAGGTGTCTAGGGCTGACTGATGCCCATTATGCCTCCCCTTCCCCATCTTTGTCACAGGATTTGACGCACCAGCTCTCCTAATGACTCTGTCCACCACAATGCCAAGCCTGACCCTGGCCCTCCCATATGCTGTTCAGCCCAAGCACGGAGATTGGCTATTAACCCTGTAAATAGGCCTCTGACCCCCAGAGGCTGATGGCTAGCCAGGGAAAGCTGAGCTGCTGACGCAGACTGGGAGGCAAGAGCCCACTTCCAGCAGCCAGGCTAGTTGTGTCTAAATCCATGACTGGGGAGGGGTTAGAGCCTTGAGGAACAAAATTATTCTACTGGTTGCTGATGGCCCTGGGAGGCTGCACTGGCCCAACAGCTGGGCCCCATCTCATGGGTCCGCTTCTTCACCAGGAGAGAAGCCACTCCTGGGTAGGTACTGCCCCACCCAAATTCAGCCATCTGGAGTGACCCAGCCCTGGTTCCCAGGTATGTGGATGTGGATTGTCCCACCCAACCCACTCTATAGTGAGCAAACAAGCCCTCTGGGACAGTGGTCACAGCCTCCCCTGTACCTCTGAACAGCCTGCCAGGCTCCCTACTCTTAGGCCTCCACTGTCCACCAGGGAATGCCCTGAGAGTTGGGGAACCCCCAGGCATTTCCCCTGCCCAGGACGGTCTTTTGGTGTCAGGGAGGGCTGTGAGGGCTTTCTAGGTCTCAAGATGAGGAGCTTGAAGATGCAGCCTGGCAAGTAAGAAGGCAAGACCAGGACATGGGCCAGCCAGAAGCAGGAGTCTGGGGCCTGGAGGCTCCTGGGAAGGTGGTGGCGAGGGAGCATCTGTTGGTGGCCTCAGGGCAGCAGCTGCCTGGTGAATGTTCGTGGAGTGGATGCTCTGGAAAGGGGGATGGGTAGTAAGCTTCTCCCCCTCCCCTCTCAAGACGTCACTGGAGTCTGGGGGTGGAGCTGCCTGGTCTATAAATCCTGGGGCCATCAGGCTAAGGTCCTGCAGCCGCCTGAAGGAGCCATCTCATCCACAGCTCTTCCTCGGTGAGTGGGGAGCCTTCCCTAAGGGCTGGGGCACCTGGATCGAGCTTCATCCTGGGTCCATGGTATGCTGCTCCTTTTCCCCATTCCCAAGCACCTCCACCCCTGAACCATGCCAGAAAAGTCCCCTTTTCCTCTCCTCTCCGCAACAGCTCTACCATCTATTGTGCTTGCTGCCCCTGGCATGGGAGGGATAAGGGGTAGAAGCATTTGCCCCCATCAACACCACACATCCATTCCACATCCCCAACTACTATGAAAGAGAGACAGCAGGCCACAGAGAAAAGGGCGGAAGGCCTGCCACTCTGTGGCCTAGCACTGGTGCTCCAGACGCCCCTATATTGAGAACTCCCCTGACCATCCATCTGTCCTCCCATCCATTGGCCTGAATTCAGGTCTCTGTTCCCCTCCAACTTTCTTCCACTTCTGGAAACTCCTTGAAGGAAGGATGGATGGGCTTGGACAAGTGGGAGGGCCCTCAGAGTTGGCAAGGCAGGTAGCCTGTGTGTCCCAGGCTCAGGGAGAAGGCTGGTCCCCTGGAGCATCGTCCCCTGCTGGGCCAGGATCCCCCAGGATCTGGACCCCTGTGTGCTTGGGATGAAGAGCCGTGGCAGAGAGGGAAGGGCATAAGGAGATACCAAAGCTGCCCCTGGGATGCCAGTTTTCCAAGGTGGCCCTGTAGGAAGGGGGGTGGGATGTAGGGGTGAGGTAAGGCTCCTTGAATGCTGTACCCTGTCCATTAGAGCAGCCATGGCCAGTTCCAGGCGAGGCCTCCTCCTGCTCCTGATGCTGCTGACTGCTCACCCTGGACCCTCAGAGGCTCAGCACTGGTCCCATGGCTGGTACGCTGGAGGAAAGCGAGCCCTCAGCTCAGCCCAGGATCCTCAGAATGCCCTTAGGCCCCCAGGTGGGTGTCTCCCAGCCTGATTGGGAGGAAGAAAGTGATGGCTGGGGGCTCCCCCACCCCCCTGGAGCCTGAAGTCGGGGTAGGGAGGACAGCATCAGTTCCCTTCTAAGGAAGGGCCCTGGGCACTGCAGCAGGCAGCCCAGCCCAGGCTACCTATGGCCTCCCAAGTGATGCCCTGGCTCACCTGGAAGACAGCATGCCCTGGGAGGGCAGGACCATGGCGTGGTGGTCTCTTCGCAGGAAGCGACATCTGGCACAGACACTACTATGAGTGGGATGAAAGGTCCCCAGCATCAAGACCAGCCACTGGTCATCAGTGGCCATTGTGGCTTAGGGGTAGATGCAGGGAGGGTGGGGAGAATGAAACACCACTGAGAATGCCCCCTGCCACAGCACCACCAATCATTTCTCAGTGCCCCTACTGCACACAGCAGGGTGCTGTCTGCTATCCTTCCTATTTCCCAGGAGGATTCTAGACAATTTATAAAACACTTAGGTTAAAGACTGAAGTCACTAGTAGAGTAGAAGGAGATAATTGAGCCAATGACTGTCTTGAAATGGACAGACCCTGGGCCAGTGGAAAGAGGTGAGGGATGCAACCTCAGGCAAATAGACAACAAGGCTAAGAGGACCAGGTGGTCACTGACATGTGCACTAGGAACATCTCAGGGACTGCAGAGCTCCCCAAGACATAGCAGAAAGCAGGCGTGGGGAAATAGTTTGTTACTATTTTGCAAATCAAACATATTTAAAGTGCATCAGGAGAGCACGATAACTAAAGAAGAAAGTAGTAAGTTCCTATGAGGCAAAGTCTTACCGCCTGATTTATGTGTACGGGCTCTGGTTTCCATGCGTCAGGCTTGTTTAGTGTGGACCAGAGGGCATGCCCAAGGGAGCTGGAGATCCCCACACCCGCTGGATCCTCAGGCTTCTAGGGGAGGCGGGGGAGCGTCCAGCTCTGGGAGGCCAGGTGGGGACTGGTGGGGACAAGAGGGGAGAGGACCGGGAAGGTGGCAGCTCGGCGGTCACGAGACCAGTGTCTTGAGGCCTGACCGCCACTTCTCCCTCTGCAGACGACAGCCCGAGAGCCCCGCCCCGTCCCGCCGTCCTCCAATAAAGTGTGAGGTTCTCCGAAGTTGTTGCCTCGAATTCTGTCCTTCGTCCCCTCCCTCTCTTTCCCGCTGAGACCTTTCCCTGCGTGGGGGCTGGAGGGAGGCAGGTCCGGCCCCGAGGGAGGGAGGAACGAAGGGATGGCCCCGGGCCCTGGCAGGAGGGCTGGGCCAGAGCCTGGGGGCTGGGTGCGGACGTCCGCAGGGTCGCCGCTTGGGTTCCAGAGGCCACACGGCCGGGCGAGGTGTGAGGGACAGCCTGAGGACTACAGGTCCCAAGGTGCCCCGCGCCGCTTCCGGGGCACGGTGGCGTTCCGGCAGCGCGGCCGCAGTGAGGAGACGCGGCCATGCTACGCGCGCTGAGCCGCCTGGGCGCGGGGACCCAGTGCGGGCCCCGGGCCCCGCTGGTGCTGCCAGCGCGCGGCCGCAAGACCCGCTACGACCCGCCGGCCAAATCCAAGATCGGGCGCGTGAACATGCCGCCCCCGGTGGACCCTGCGGAGTTCTTCGTGCTGATGGAGCGTTACCAGCACTACCGCCAGACCGTGCGCGCCCTCAGGTGTGCGGCCGGGGGGAGGTGGCCGTCCGCGCGCGCTGGGGACGGTGGGGGCGGGCGAAGAGGTTGCCGATACCTGCCGCGTCTGCACCCAGGAAGGAGTTCGTGTCCGAGGTGCGGAGGAAGGCGTACGAGGCCCGAGCCGGGGTTCTGGCGGAGCGCAAGGCCCTGAAGTACGCCACCGAGCACCGCGAGCTGATGGCCTGGAACCAGGAGGAGAACCGGCGACTGCACGAGCTGCGGTGCGTGGGGCGGGGGGCGGGGCGGGGCGGGGCGGGGCGGCCTGGCCGGCCTGGGAGAAGCCCGAGCCCCGCTCAGCCTCGGCCCCTTGACCCTCACAGGATAGCGAGGCTGCGGCAGGAGGAACGGGAGCAGGAGCAGCGGCAGGCGTTGGAGCAGGCCCGCAAGGCCGAAGAGATGCAGGCCTGGGTGCAGCGCAAGGAACGGGAAGTGCTGCAGCTGCAGGTGGGCAACGCCTCCGGAGGGTGGGACTCCAGTCGGGTTCGCGGCTTGCGGGGCACTGGGAATTCTGGGTACCGCGACGCGGGCGCTGGCTATGTGCAGAGACTTAGAGTTGGCAGGTCAGGATTTGGGAGAGGAGAGAGAGTGCCAGTCAGGCGCAAAGACCCGGAGGTGAGCAGAGTAATTGGACAGTGTTCAGGTGCCTAGCAGGTCTGTGGGAGGGACCCTGTGTTCCACAAAGAGGTTGTATTTTGCATAACAGGTGAAGCCGTGAAGGGTTAAATATTTCACGGCTGGGATTAGCAAGTGTGTGACTTAAAAGCAGGGAGACCACTTAGGAGTAATGCAGTGAGAATGGATGAGGCTTGATTTAAAGTAATATAAGGGTAGCTAGGAGCGGTGGTTCACACCTGTAATCCCAGTACTATAGGAGGCCTAAGCGGGCGTATCACTTGAGGTCAAGAGTTCGAGTCCAGCCTGGCCAACATGGTGAAGCCCCGTCTCTCCTAAAAATAGAAAAATTAGCCGGGCGTCGTGGTGTGCGCCTGTAATCCCAGCTACTGGAGAGGCTGAGGCATGAGAATCGCTTGAACCCAGGAGGCGGCGGTTGCAGTGAGCTGAGATGGAGCCACTGCATTCCATCCTGGGCGACAGTGAGACTCCGCCTCAAAAAAATAAATAATTAAATAAAGTAGTAAAGTAATAGGGGGAAGGACGAGTTAGAGTGATTCAGAGGGGACCACTGAGGGACGGATTTCACCTACCAGGACGTGAGATTTTCATAGCTGGCACTCAGGGCTATGGCTGAAGTGTCTGAGAAAAGAGCAATGTAGCAAAGCAACCTGATATCACTCCACTGGGAGGCCAGAGGGGCTCTCAATGAGGACCTGGACTCCAGGCATGCTTTCCCAGGGCGAGTGGGAGCTGCTTTCTCAGTGGGGTGAGAGGCCAGCAGGCTGGGTGGGCTGGCTGGCTGGCATGTGCCCGGGGTTCCTGTTGAGCTGGGCTTTTCTCTCCCGATAGGAAGAGGTGAAAAATTTCATCACCCGAGAGAACCTGGAGGCACGGGTGGAAGCAGCATTGGACTCCCGGAAGAACTACAACTGGGCCATCACCAGAGAGGGGCTGGTGGTCAGGTCACAACGCAGGGACTCCTAGGGGCCCAGTAAAGACAGTGCCCGCCGAGGGACCATGTTGGTATTGTGGTGGAAGAGTTGGCCCTGACCTGGAATAAAGCAGTTGGTGCTGCTTATGAGGACGGTTCAGCCTTATCCAGCACAGCCTTCACGTTTTGCCCTCTGCTGTCAACACTTGGTCAGAAACTTCCAAACACAGTGCCCTGTTCTGCCCCTGTGTACAGCCTCAGCACACCAGGAGACCCTAGAGTGGTTTCCATCTCACAGAGGATCAGACAGGGCCACAGCCCCCTCAGCCTGCCAGGTCATCTGAGTATCATCAAGAGTAGTGATGGGCAAATTACAGTCTGAGGGCCAAATGTGCCTGGTTCCTGTTTTTGTAAAGAAAGTTTTGTTGGAACACAGCCATACCCATTCATTGACTTCTTTTTACTACAGTGGCAAAGACAAGTAGTTGCAACAGAGACCATATGAATTGCAAAGCCTAAAATATTTAACTTTTTACAGCAAAAGTGTAGCGATCTCTCATCTGGAGCTTTAGGGCTCTAGCCTGGAGCAGATGTCACCCAGGACCTGAGCCACAAGCTAACCATTGGCCAGGGGCCTGCCTCTGCTCTATACTGGGCTTTGCTGGCCAGAGTCTGGTGTATCCAAGACCCAGAAGGCAAAGAGGAGACCGCATTTCTTCTGGGTTCCACAAAGAGGTTGTATTTTGCCTTACAGGTGATGAAGCCATGAAGAGTTAAATATTCCAGGCTAGGATTGGCAGGTGTGTGACTTAAAAGCAGGGAGACCATTAGGAATGGGTCTGTCCACCCATGGCCTCAGTGACTACATTTGCCCTGGCGTTGCCAGCGCCCTTGGGCCACCCAGCAGATTGCTGCTGGCAGGGAAGACCTGGTTGACCAAGATTTTATGAGGTTAGTGTGGCTTAGCAAGCACTTGAACCAAACTCTGGGGGTACCGAGACTGCCTGTGATGATGAAGAGAGTATATAGATCCGTAGTCCTGGTTCAGATGCAGGCCCTCAAGCAGTGTCTGGGATGAGCTGGAGGAATGTTTCTCAACCAGAGCAGCTTCCATTTGCTGCCATGCACATGAACTCCAGCTTCTCTCCATGACTCCCACTTTGCAGGGAAGGCCTAGGGACCCCCAAGAAATGAAAACGTTTTAGGGTATATGGGCAACTCTTATTGCAGGTGAGAAAGCAGGTAATAAGGTGCAAGCAGAGGTGGTGCCTGGCACCCAGCCCTCAGAGCACTGCACTCCTGAGAACCTTGGCCTCCCTCCTCAGGCCGGTAATAGCTCTTCTCCCCTGGCAACAACTTTAGCCAGAGCACAGTGGCATCCCTGCTTTTAGGTGCGAGGCATCTGGAGTGAGACCTGATGGGCACACATGGTTTGACGATGTCTTCCATGGCCTCCGGCTTCGTCATGGTGAAGAGTGGACCATCTGGCCCCCTGCACTGGAAGAAGCCTTTGATGATGTGGCACATAGGCCCGTGTTAGGAAGTCCGGTTTTATGTAACATACTCCTCCCTGGACCTTGTCTCCATCTTCCAGTTTCATTCTTTCCAAGGCCTCTGTACCAGGATCCAGACATAAGCCATCTGTCTGTTCAGACAGAGGACACGCTGACCTCGAAGCTCTGTCTTTGGGCTAATTCCACTGCTGTCCAGCATGGGGCTGGAACTCAGCATTCACTGCTGATGCCGTTATGTCATACAGAACCACCTGGAAACCAAGTGTCACGTTTTTATTCTCTACCCACAGCCACCTTGCTGGTATAGGCACCACTAGGCAGCTTATTGGTACCTTCAGGGTTAACTCAAACCCAGGGCCATTGCACCTGCTTCTAATGGAACATAGAGTGCAGCCAGGTGCGCAGGTAGCCTCAGATCCCATCCAGTCCAGGTTGCAGAGTCATGTGATGCCACAGGGTAGAATGGCTGATCTCCACAGAACCCTGGATGGTTAACCTGATGGACATGGCCTTGCTCAAAACACCAGAGTCTCTTCAGATCCTTGCCTCAAGCTCCTAGTAGGGCTTGGATCTGCTACAGACAATGAGCTCTGCAGGGTTTCAAGGGGCAGAGTTGCCAGAATCATGCTGCAGCCTGGACCACCCAGAGAATGTCTTGTTCAAGACTCTGCTTGTGGGTGGTAGATTTGGGGTCTACCTGGTAAATGCATTTGGAGCAGAACACCCAAAAGTAAGTGCTTTCACCAAGATGGGAGGAGGCCCACCAGGCTTTGTGGATAGGCAGGATGGACCAGAAATTTGTGAGTGGCAAATTTTTCCTGAAGGACCCAATCAAGTATAGATGTTTTACCACGAAACTTGGGATTCTTGCCCCTTCCAGTTGTCTAGAATAAGCATGGTGTCAATGAGTGGCCCCCTGCCATGCTGTCCTGGGGATGGATGGTGTAGGTAGGTCTTGAGGATCTGGTTATGCAAAACTGTAGAGTTGTTCATCTCTCAGGCTGAATCGTGAAGGTGTGCTGCTACCAGGTGAAGGCAAGCTGCTTATAGTGGTCCAGGTGGGTAGGACAAGAGAAGAATGCATTTGCCCAATTAACCTGTTCCATCAAGGAGACCACCCTAGACGTCATTACACCTAAAGTCATTCCTCATATTTTCCCAGCATACTCCAAATTTTCCATATGGAACAGTCACAGTTATCCAGTATTCCCTGAAATCTTTGGGAAATGTTACTTCCTGCACTTACCCTGTGGTTATTTCCCCAATTCTGACAAGTGCAGTTGACATGGACAACCAGGAAGGCCAGCTGACTCCTGAAATAAGAGCAACTTTGGCAGAAAGGGTTAAGTTTGGAATGATTTTTCCTTCCCAAATAGGAAGTCAAAAGTAATATTGCAGTCCCAAAAACCTGAAACAGGCAGGCCTAGCCATGACGCTGTCATTTCCCCTGTCGGGTGCTTTAGTGAATATTTCCTTAGCTCAGGTAAGTGCATAAACAATAGATGTGATGTATAATGAGTTTTTATAAAAGTAACACTGCCAGAGTCAGCCTCCTGGTTCAGTTTACAGGACCTCAAAGTCAAGAACTTGAAGAATCCCACCATAGTGCCACAAAAGGGCCCAGGAAAGTGACATTAAAAGGTCAGAGCTGTGGCCGGGCGCGGTGGCTCACGCCTGTAATCCCAACACTTTGGGAGGCTGAGGCGGGTGAATCACATCAGGAGTTAGAGACCAGCCTGGCCAACATGGTGAAACTGCATCTCTACTAAAAATACAAAAAATTAGCTGGGTGTGGTGGCGGGCACCTGTAATCCCAGCTGGGAGGCTGAGGCAGGAGAATCACTTGAACCCAGGAGGTGGAGATCGCAGTGAGCCAAGATTGCACCACTGCACTCCAGCCCAGGCAACAGTACGAGTCTGTCACACACACACACACACACACACACACACACACACACACACACACACAAAGAGCTGCATAAGCCCCAGTCTTATGCAGTACTGCACAGTGGCTCTGTGGCTCACAGGAATCCTCCCCAAATGCATTTAACCTCACTGAGAGTAAAAACACAGGTGTGAGGTTTAAGTTCTCTGGGAAGTTGTGTTACAGTTCACATTTTTTTCTTTTTTCTT